GAACCATTGGACTAAATCAAATCATTATGATAAGTACAATCATTAGCAAGAATATGGATCTGGAATTCTCCCCCCCCTGGAAGTAATTGTTTGGAAAACATGAATGTGGAACTCTGGACCTCCCCAAAAGCACCCTACCCTTTGGGAATGAGAATGATACATAGAGCAATTATCAGAAGGTGCAAAGCTATGAACCTGGAATTCCCCACTTGGAATAAGTAGAAGCAAAAATAGCAATGATAAGTAGGCTAATTTGCAAAACATTAATCTTCAACTCCACAAAGGCACCCGTCCCTTTGGGAACGACGTCCCTGTGGGAAGAATGATTATAACAAGTTGATAAGTAGCGCTAGACTAGAAAATGAATCTGGAATTCCTCAAAAGGGACCCGTCCCGTTGGGCAGAATTGAAATAATCCGGGTACTTCCAAAAACAGAAAATATCTGAAGTAGAAGGATTAGAGATACTATGAGTCTGAAATTCCCCAATTTGAGGAATGAAGAAATTGAAAAACAAGAATCTGGAACTCCCCACAAGCACCTGTCCCTTTGGGAATGCCAAGAATAAATAGAGCAGTTATCAGAAGTAGAATCACTAAAAACATTGAAAAAGGCACCTGCCCCTCTCGGAATAAGAACAATCATTATAATAGCTACGATGAGTAGACAACATTTCCCAAACATGAATTTTCAATTTCCCAAGGGCACCCGTCCCTGTGGGAGTAATTAGAAAATTAGAGCAGTTAGAATAACCAGAATAATTGAACACACATGAACCTGGAGATTCCAGAAGGCACTTGTTCCTTTGAGAAGACTGATCATAAGAAGTAGAAGGGACCCGCCCCGTTGGCAATAATTGGAAACGCGGGTAGTAATCCGAATTTCCCCAAATGTCCGCAAATTTGGGAATGACCAGTTGCAAAAACAAGAGCCTGGAATTCCCGTCCCTTTGGGAATGAGAATGATCAGAACAAGAAGCAGAATCAATAGAAAAAAGCAATGAACCGGAATCCCCCCAAAGGCGCCCGCCTCTCTTGGAATAAGGAGAAAATCATGGCGATGATAAGTAGGCTAATATGCAAAACATGAATCTTCAATTCCTCAAAGGCCCGCCCCCTTGGGAATAATAAGAAACAACAGAACATGTAGAATAACTAGAAAGATTAGAACAAACATGAATCTGGAGATTCCCTAAAGCACCCGTCCCTTTGGGAAGAATGATTATAATAAGTTCATGAGTAGATTGAATCTGGAATTCCTCAAAAGGGACCCGTCCCGTTGGGCAGAATTGAAATAATCTGGGTACTTCCAAAAACAGAAAATATCTGAAGTAGAAGGATTAGAGATACTATGAGTCTGAAATTCCCCAATTTGAGGAATGAAGAAATTGAAAAACAAGAATCTGGAATTCCCCACAGGCACCTGTCCCTTTGGGAATGCCAAGAATAACTAGAGCAGTTATCAGAACTAGAATCATTAAAAACATTGGAAAAACAAACATGATTCTGGAGCTCAACAAAAGGCACCTGTCCCTCTGGGAATAAGAATAATCATTATAACAGCTACGATGAGTAAACAACATTTCCCAAGCATGAATGTTCAATTTTTCAAGGGCACCTGTCCCTGTGGGAGTAATTAGAAAATTAGAGCAGTTAGAACAACTAGAATAATTGAACACACATGAACCTGGAGATTCCCAGAAGGCACCTGTCCCTTTGAGAAGACTGATCATAAGAAGTAGAATAGTGTAGCAGACAATGAATCTGGAACTCCTCAAAAGGGCCGCCCCGTTGGCGATACTTGGACAATGCGGGTAGTTCCAAAACACCTGAAGTTGAATAAGAGAGAGACCATGAATCAGAATTTCCCCCAAATTTGGGAATGACCAGTTGCAAAAACAAGAGCCTGGAATTCCCGTCTTTTTGGGAATGCGAATAATCATGAGAAAAGTATATCAGAAGTAGAATCAACAGAAAAAAAACTATGAACCTGGAATTCCCCAAAAGGCGCACGCCTCTCTTGGAATAAGGAGAAATCATGGCGATGATAAGTAGGCTAGTATGCAAAACATGAATCTTCAATTCCTCAAAGGCACCCGCCCCCTTGGGAATAATAAGAAACAACAGAACATTTAGAAGAACTAGAAAGATTAGAACAAACATGAATCTGGAGATTCCCTAAAGGCACCCGTCCCTTTGGGAAGAATGATTATAATAAGTTCATGAGTAGATGTGCTAGACTAGAAAATGAATCTGCAATTCCTCAAAAGGGACCCGTCCCGTTGGGAATAATTGGAATAATTTGGGCACGCCCAAGAACAGAACATATTGTACGTAGAGTAGTTAGAGAAACAATGAATCTGAAAGTTCCCCAATTTGGAGAATAAAGAATTGGAAAAAGCAAGAATCTGGAATTCCTCGCAAGCACCCCCCCCTTTGCGAATGACAAGAATAATGGGAAGACGTACAAGGCACCCACCTCTTGTGTAGTAATTGTTGTACCTAGAACAACAAAGGTGCCCGTCCCTTGTAAATAATAATGATAGTAGTATTTTACAAGACTGATGATAAGTAGACTAATCAGCAAACGTGAATCTTGAACTCACTAAACGGCACCTTCCTGTTTGGGACCAAATAGAAAATAGGGAAATAATCTAGAACTTACTAAATGGGAGCTGCTCATTTGGGAATGGCTCGAATAGTTTGAACAATGCGGGAACCACGAATCTCGCCACCAACAGGCCCCATCCCTTTTGACACAATTATCCTACCCAGGGCAAACACGAGCTTGGAATTCCCCAAGACGCACCCCAGCTCCCTAGGGATTCAATTAGAATAATATAGAATGATTATGATAAGTAGAATACTTAGCAATCAGACCTCTTGAATTCCCCAAAAGTCACCCGTCCCTTTGGGAATAATGATGAGAATTAGAAGAGTTATGATAAGTAGAATAGATAGAAAACATGAATCTGGAATTCATCAAAAGGCACCCCACTTTTTGGAAGAAGTAGAATACTTAGATTAGTTCAAATAATTAGCACAAACATAAATCTGGAGTTCCCCCAAAGGCACCCGCCCCTTTCGCAATAAGTATATAAATGAGAATAATTGTAATTTTGTGGGGAAGCATACCCAATAATTAAGACAGTAGGACAAAGATGGGTTTGGAATTCTCCAAAAGCAACCCGTCCCTCTGGGAAGAATTATAATAATTAGAACAAGTAATATAGTTATGATAAGTAGAATAGCTGGCAAACATGGATCTTGAATTCCACAAGACACACCCGCCCCTTTGGGAATGATTAGAATGAGAATAAGTTGATTAGTTAGAATACTATAGTTGAAACACACATGAATCTGGAATTGGGATTTCCGAAAAGGCACCAGTCACCCGTTCCTTGGGAATAGCTAGAACAAAGGAACTAATTAGGGGCGGATTCCCCACAAGGGGCCCCGTGCCGTTGGGAATGCGTGCTACAACCAGAATAATCAGAACAGAATGACCTGGAAACCACACTGGACTTCACCAAATGGCTTGAAAACAACGAGAATCCTTAGATTTGCTTAAGTTGTTAGAATGAGTAAAATAATTAGATCAACCATGAATGTTGATTTCCCCAAAAGGTACCCTCCTGTGGGAATACATCAGAGAGTGATGATTGCTATGAGAAGTAGACTAACTCGAACACATTTGACCCAAAATGCACCCGCCCTTTGCGAATAAATATAAAATCACGTAGAATGATTCGAAAACACGTGAATCTGGAATTCGCCAAAGGGCACCCGTCCCTTGGTGAAAAATATGCAACAATCAGAATAGCTGTAAGAATTAGGACAATGCACCTGGAATTCCCCAGAGCGCGCCCGTCCCTTGGGTAATAAATAGAACAAGTATAAATTTCAATGAGCTAGAAGAAATTGTTTCGGAATTCCCCAACAGTCCCCTGCCCCTTTGGGAGTTTCTAGAATGATTCGAAAATTAAAAATAAAAAGGGTGTTTTGTTTGTGTTAGTGTACTTGGTGTGTGTGTGTGTATTGCTTGACACTCTGTTTGAGTGCCCTTTGTGCTCTCAGTTTCTCTCTCTCTCTCTCTCTGCTTGTGTTTGCGTGCGTGCGTGCGTGCGTGCGTGCGTGCTTGCGCGCGCGCGTGCGTGCGTGCGCGCGTGTGTGTGTGTGTGTGTGTGTGTATCATGAGTGAGGGAAACATCCCCCCCGCGCGTACCACTTTTGGGGAAACAATCATCCCGCGCGCGCACGCCACATAGGACCTAATCTTCCCTGCCACGGGGGGGGGCGGGGGTTAGAGGGGGCGGCAGCCACCCCCATGATGTTTGAAGAAGTGATGATTCAAATAGGGGTGCAATTAAATCTCTGCAAGCAATCTAAAAAGTAGCGAGGGGGTTGGGGGGGGGCTGCCCCCCCATGATGTTCGAAAAAGTGATGATTCAATTAGGGGTGCAAAGATTCAAGAAATGGTGCGATAGAATATAAGAACTAGCTGGGGGGGCGGGGGTTGGGGGGGTTGGGGGGGTGGCTTCCCTATGATGATCGAAGAAGTGCATACATACAGACATACATACATGCCGACATACACAAACATAAATAACATAAATATAAAGAACACTTGCCGGGGAGGAACTGGTGATGCTGTGGATGCAAAGCAAAAAACCAATGAAAGGGTGCAAAAGCCGAAAAGCCCGGAGAGGAACTGGGGAAGCAGAGCATGTGAAAAGCCAAAGCCACCAAAAGCCGCATCAACCAGCGAAAAGCCGCCAAAAGCCAAAACGCCACCTGCTGGAGAGGAACTGGGAATGCAAAGGATGCGAAAAGCCAAAGCCAAAAAGCCAAGAAGCCAAAAAGCCAAGAAGCCAAGCAGCCAAAAGCGCAAAAAAAAAAAAAAGAAGAAAAAGACTGAAATGAATGCCCCTCCAAAACATTTGTGCCTTGCGCCTGGCTTGCCGGACAAACATCCGAAATGTCCGCCCATGCACAAGCCCACCTTGGTTGGCTCGTCTGTCGTCTGCGCCGCCTCCTGCGCTCTTCGTTTCAGTAGCAAGTTGGCAAAGTTGACGAGCTAGGAATACGTATTCACAGTGTGTGTCTCTGACTTTCTCAAACGATACGCTTTGCTCTGAAAAGATCAAAGAAATAACGACTTCCCCCTCGCGTTTGCCTTTAGAAAAGTCCTTCCCAGGTGCTTCGCCGTGTTTTGCGAGGGACTCCGGACCCAGAATAAACCCTCGATCAGTGTCCATCACTAGAAGCTCTACCTCAAGAATGACGTCAACCCATTTTTTCTCCCAAGCGGAACCTTTGTTTAAGGTCATTCTCGGAAACAACCAATTCCTAGGCCCGGAATTCGCTGGTTCACTGTTGCAACCAGAGCTTCCGAGTGTTTGAAACTTTGCGCTCTCAGTGGAGCAGGCCTATTGAGACCGGCGGGCCTTTGGGTTGGGAATTTGGGAGTGGCTTACCCGCACCTGTTTAGCCCCAACCTCAGTCATTCAGCACATCCCTTTTAGTGGGTTACTTCTTCCAAGGAATTCCTTGTGCTTCCGGTTGCCAGCATAGTCAGCAACCAGCTTGGTTGCCTACATTGGCTGGCCGGTGGCTCCAAGAACAAAAGAGAACAAGCTCAGGTGATATCCCCAGCATGCGGTGCTCTTTTTGGTGCTCGCACCCCCGCAGCCCTCGCAGAGTTTCGTGGAACCCTGGTGGAACCCTGACCTTAGGGCCGCCCCGGACCACCCCAGAGCCTATCTGGGCTGAGACCCCAAAGCTTTTAGCTGTTGGGGAAAAAAGGAATGCCCTGAGTGCAGACTGGGAGGCCTTATTAATCGAAAGGGAAAAGCCGGGGCTAGAGGTACCTCCAACATGGGCCATGGGCTTCTTTAGAAATCCTGGCGGCTGTCTTACCGAGTAAAGAGCCAAGGCCAAACCACGCGCGTCCCGACTCAAATCCAAGCGCTGAAGCAATGTCACCACACACTGGCACCAGCGAAAACCTAGACCGCACATCGCTTGAAGAACTCTTTCCTCGGCAGCGCCATTGCGACGTCTCAGCCCATTCTGCTCCATGGCAAGGCTAGTCTCTCTTCTCTCAAAATAGATGCGCGGTCGCGGCTCTGTTCTGCGTTTCCCGTGTTTCAGATGTTTCACATGTCTTACAGAATCCCAGGCTCTTGACAGAAAACCTGTCCGACCTTGAACCAAAGCGCCCAGGGCGCTGGCATCGGAAGCGCCGCAAAACGCCCCGAAAAAGAAAAAGAACATGGCTTGGCAGTCAAAGTATGAGGTCTGTTTCAAAACCCGCCCCCCCCCCCCCAAAAGGAAATTTGGATGAGAACCATTTTCGATTTGAGGGACCCAAACTCGTTTGGCACATATCCACATTTCCTTCCGGGGGGGTATCATGTCAAGGGACATCCTCAGGTACAACTGAGTCGAGTAGCACCCAAAACCCCTTAACTTTGGGTTCTACCAAGGCGCTTGTAAACAGATTTGTGGGAAGTGGAACCCACTTCTGTGAAACCAGAAAAAGGGCCTGAGACTAACCCCCATAAGAGGGGATTGCGAAAAGTATCGCAGTGGTCGGATAAACCGGATAGACCCCTTGTCAACCCAATCCTGAAGCTTCCTAAGTGGGCTGAACATCCAAGGCGTTCAACCCATTGAAAGAATGGCTGACCCCGAGTGATCCACCACTGCTGAAGGACCAAGAACCAGCGCTCGCGACCGCTCCACTGGCTTCCGAACCGCCGACATCGCTCGCTCTCGATGGATCGATGGATCGATCGCCCCAAGTTCAGCGAAGGTCTCTGAACCTCCAGGGGTCCAGCGTTTAGGCTGTCGCTTGGGGGTGTCTTTGTTTCAGGGCACCCAAATTGGTTGGGCGGTGTCAAAGGGAAACCCAACGGAAACCAGCCATTTTTGGGAGGCCCCTCAATTTTAAGATGCACCCAGTTGAGATATGAGACACGCTCGGCTGGAGCGTGTCTTTTCTTTGGTACCTTTCTTTGGGCTCGGTGTTTCTCGTGAAGCCCCATTGGGAGTCCCCGATTTGAAGACACATCTTTGACCGGGATCTCAAACGAAGTGGAAATTCAAACCGAAGCATTCCAGAGGTCCCCTCACCGGCCTGGGCTGCACGCCACTTGCCCTAGGTGCCCATGCCATGACAAGTATCCAAAGGCTTAGAACAAAAATGTTCCTTGGTCTCCTGGGACTCACCTGGCATCAGCTGAAGAAATTCGTCTCTGCGCAACTGCACCGCAAAGACCGGCAGTATTTCAACATACGAGTCAAATCAGGCAAAAAAAAAGTCTTTTTAGACTTGCTTCTTGTCCCAGCTCCCTTAAAGTCGAGGACAACATGTGCATAATGCATAACTATAATATACAATCGGACTGGGCACACATCAGCTTGACAGAGGTTCGGCGCAAGCAAATCGATTTGCAAGAAAATGCTCTGATGTTTTGCGGCATCGCCTTCTCTTTGAACGCTTTGCAATGCTACGTGGGAGGATTGCGCTCGCAGGTAGATGCAAACACGCAAGTTAGCTCATCACTTCCGCCACCAATCTGAATCTGCTTGTCTGCGGCCGAAGTCGCCGCCACCCATCCAGACGTGAAAACAAGCTGTTTCATGGCGTTTGAATGGAGTTATTGCGTGGAGGAACAAGCATGAAGGAAAATGCAACGAGGAACAATATGGAGGAAAAGCATGTAGGAACATGCATGGAGCATACATACCCCTGTGACTAGCGTGTGGGTTTGTCTCAAAACAGGGTAGTCAGGTCCCACCCCAAAAGCGCATTGCATCCTTCTTCCAGCGGTTTCCCATTTCAGCACCACAAACGAGTGTCCTCAAAAGGACAGCCCAATTTCTGCCTTGCATATCTCTACTTCAGCAAAGGCCAGTAAACACGCTTTCTATCAAGCAAGAGGATTGGGACGGTGTTTGAATGAGCAGCCCCGTGCCTGTGGCTGCTGGAAGAAAGCTGACATAAAGCTGTCTCGAGGTTGAGAATCACGAAGTTGCCAGCTTTTTAAAGTCTGCAAAGGATCCTGGTGCTGCAAAAAGCTGTGCCAACCGGCGTCACGATGCCTTCGTTGAGTTACGTGGACGAACATATTGCAAAGTCACAAAGCACATAGCAGTCATGCTGACCTACCCGCCGGAGCCAGGAAGCTCAAAAAGCTTGCATGGCCCATGTACAAAACCTCGCTTGTGGTGGCATTGCCAAGAAAACGAAGAACAAAAACCAGACTGCAAACCTGTCGGTCAAGCTCGTTGCTTGTCGACTAACTTGAGGCGCAACAAGTTATATTAGCCCTGTCTGAGCATCCGTAAACATCCACGTTTGTGCGACGGGGGCCGTTTTCCACGGGCTGTACTCCTTTGCGCCACGGTTGCTGACATGCTGTGCATCCTCTCAATGCAAGTTGTTCGCACATCTTCAGATAGCATGGCTCGGAGTTGAGGATGCTGTACGGCGGTGGGGCAGACGCTTCCTCATGTTTTTGTATGAGCTGAAGATCAATTTGGTTTATGTTGGGCTGAATCCAGATGTTTGATGGACCTCTAAAAAACCTCGAAGCCTGGAAGCTTGGAGGTCACCATCTGAAAAGCTTGCCTCAAGCGACTGCGACGAAAGTGTCCCGTGCCGGAGCCGCGTGTTAGCGGCTCCTGCAAGGCGTGACATCTGTCTCCCCACGGAAATATTCTGGTTGTTTCCAGATGGGAAACTCAAACTTCCGTTTCACTCAACCCCAGACAGGCAGAGCCTCAAGAAAAGACAAGGCCATTGGGGGGAAATTGGTAGTCCCACCCCCCCACCCCACCATTATCCATCAGAAGAACAATAAGTAATCTGGGGTTGCGACCGGTGCGAAAGCACCCAAGCGCTCATAGCTCACTTATGGTTGGCGAGATAATTACGCGAGACGCGAAGACCTGCGCCAACCTCAACACCTTGAGGTTGATTGCCAAATGAAAGTTACCACCACAGGGCCCTGCCAAATGAATCGCAGACCATAACAAAGCATTTGGGCAACCAACCCTTGGTTGCGAGGAGGGAGCCGGTATCAAGTTCAAAGTGCCCTTTAAAAAAAGAAAAAGAAGAGACAAAGGTACCCCAAACGTGAACAGCATGCCAGAACCCGACGAAACGCCAACCCCATTAAGCATGGAAGTGGCCCTTATGCAAACAAGAGATCCGATTCAAATGCTCTGTCAGTCGCACAGAAGCGGAAAACACACATAGTGCTGACCTGTTGGCCGGAGCCAGGAAAAACTGAACAAGCAAACTCAAGCCAACAAAACCGCAGCATACCATGCATTAACAAGAGTGAACATGCGTTGGCATGCGTGGCAGACGGCCGGAGCCGTGCTTATCACTTCGCTGCTCGGCTGCACGGCTGCTTGGCTGCTCTGACACGCAACGCAGTTTCCGCAGAAAGTGCGATGCCTGTCGATTGGACGGCCGGAGCCAACACTAGAACCACACACTTGGCGATGGCCGGAGCCTTTGCTTGAACCCACATCCTTTCCCAGTCCTCCCCAGTATTGCCATCGTTGCCCCTACGCATTGTGTCCTTCGCATGCTCCGGGTGCCTGAATCGCTATGTCCAAATTCTGCATCTCTTCACTGCAAGTTGTTCGCACATATTCAGATTGCATGCTTTTGAGTTGAGGCTGTTGTACCGCTGTCTGGCAGATGGCTTCCCGATTATGCTGCGTGAGGTCCGCATCAGCTTGGTTCAGGCTGGATTGTAGCCAGGTGTGTGATGCTGTGTGTAGAACGCTTGACCACCCCGCAGTGACATATCGAAGGAGAATGGCTCGAGTTTCAGCCTACTTTGCGAGCATCTGCGCGTTGAAATCAAGCATAACTGACAGCCAAGAACCGTATGCAGACCTGCAGGAAGCCAGCATGCAAAATGACAAAGCGGCACGCAATCAGGTTGCCTCAAACCAAAACCTGAGGGTTCTCACCTCTTGTCTGGCGAGGCAGAATCGGATCAGCAAAGCGCCAAATACTTTGACTATTGTTGCTCGAAGACCTGGACTTTGCTGCATGTGACACAAAAGCAAGGATGCTTCGATTTAGTATCCGCCATGGAATCCAGTTGAACAGAGGAAAACTCGACCCGTACAACGGCTCGAGCAATTGGCAGCTGCACTGGAAGCTTCCCGCACGGTGGCCGGAGCCAATGCAGATCCCATCACATCCGTCTATGAGCATATTATGGCGTTGCTTCCAGCTTCCAAGTCGGGGGTACTATGGCAACCAATGGTGTCCCTTTGCTTTCAATTTGAAACAAGCAGAACAGGCCCCTCAAGAAAAGACGAATCGATACAGGGTAAAATTGATAGTACGCCCCAGTGCACGTCAGCTTCATAGTGCCCAAGCCCGCGTAGCTCACGATCTAGGAGCTCACGATCTGGTAGTCCACGCTCAGTTGCTCCCAAAAGGCAGATGACTTGAAGAATGGTTTGACATGCTCCCAAAACATTCTTAGACCACAAGACTCATTTTTCAAGGCACTGCCAAAATCTGGGCAACCAACCCTTCGTTACAAGGAGGGAGTTGGTATCAAGTTCAAAGTGTCCATTTTCATGTGTTTTTGTTGAGCAAAGGTACCACAAACATGAGCAGCATGACAGAACCCGACAGAACACCTACCCCATTAAGCATGGAACAACTTCGCTTCTGCAAACAAGTGATCCGATTCAAATGCTCTGTCAGTCGCACAGCAGCGGAAAACACACATAGTGCTGACCTGTTGGCCGGAGCCAGGAAAAACTGAACAAGCAAACTCAAGCCAACAAAGCCGCAGCATACCATGCATTAACAAGAGTGAACATGCGTTGGCATGCGTGGCAGACGGCCGGAGCCGTGCTTATCACTTCGCTGCTCGGCTGCACGGCTGCTTGGCTGCTCTGACACGCAACGCAGTTTCCGCAGAAAGTGCGATGCCTGTCGATTGGACGGCCGGAGCCAACACTAGAACCACACACTTGGCGATGGCCGGAGCCTTTGCTTGAACCCACATCCTTTCCCAGTCCTCCCCAGTATTGCCATCGTTGCCCCTACGCATTGTGGTCCTTCGCA